CCCGACATCACTGCCAGCATCCGTCGAGGCATTACTGTCCGTGTTGCTATTATGTCTCTGGACCGAGCGAGTTGCTGAATGTGATTGTGAAGGTGTCTCGTCGTCCGACTTGATTCTTTCCAACGATGCAACTGATGTTACTGCCTTCCCCTTTGCCTTTGCACGTTGGGCGGACGACTGTGACCGTTGGGTGTTTGTAGTTCCGCGAGCAGTTTGACTCGATGTTGTTTGACTCCTACCACGTTGTAATCGAGGGGGATTTTCCACCTGTTGTGGTTGTGCTTCTTCTTCTTCTTCTATTGCCTCGGTGATAAAATGTGAAGGACACTGAGGATCTCCTGCCTCATCAAGTAGAGGATCCTCTTGGTTCTCTGCTGCTTCAACCCAATCTAACATTGGCTCTGAATCTTCGTTGTAGAATTGAAGGTCAATGAGATCAATATCTGGTTCCTCTAGCTCCTTATCCAACTCAGCACATCGCAATCTTAGCCGTATGTTATAATGGACATATACTAGTTTCTCTAACCGTCTGTAGGAGAGTTTGTTGCGGACCTTCGTATAAATCAATGCAAACGTTGACCAATTACGTTCGCAACCATTAGATGTTGTTGTTTGTGAAAGTAAACGAACGACAACCTTCGTTAAATGTGGTGCATCCCCTTCAAATTGTAGCCACCACTCGACTGCAAAAAGATATAAATAAGATTTTATTAGCATAACAAATAATTAATATTAAATATAATTGATAATCAATATATATAACTTTTCCTCACCAGGATCCATAGTGTAACGACACGATACAACTACAACGTCGAAGAATGAACCAACTGTTTCTTGAAATAATCGATCCTCCATAAGAGCATCGGCTGCATCAGTAGTGTTTGACAAGAGCCGATATATAATATTTCGTAGTGTCGTTAGGAAATTATTTTGCGTTCCGAGAGCATATTAATATTGAATTGTTGGGTTTAGATAATACGTTGCAAGACATAATTTTGTTACTATGATTTTTTATTATCTAAATAATAATAAATTAGATTATTCTGAATATGAATTTACCTGCATTATGGATATCTTGATCCATATGAACTTTGGTCTGACGATCAATGATCCGTATGTATTGGTCGGCCTTAAAATCATCTTTGAATGCTCTCCCGAACTCCTCTCTTGTTGAAATCAGCATATATTTAAGATACGGCATCTGTGGACGCTTGTCCATATCGACCTTACGGAGGACAATATAAAGTGGTTCCACACCTTTTATAATTTCTACCGTAGTCTCCCAAAATCTAGAGGAAAGAATGGACTTTTCTATCTTCTTTCTATCGCTCAATTTCGAATATCTGGATTCAGACCACTCTTGTGAGGTGACCATTGCCTTCAAGCCATGCCTTTTTTGCTGTAATGATTTTAATGCAATAAAATTGGTACCAAACCGAGTAATTCCAGGTCGGAGTATCATACCGTTTACATACTTTTGTATTAAAGCATGGACACAATGATGATTATATATACACTTTGTAATTGATTGTGCTCGAGCTATACAATTCTTGACTGCATCTTACACACCAATATCCTTCAGCGTAGGTCTATGCAATGAGCTGCGCATGAAGTCCAAAATAAAGTTTTTTTTTTTTCATCAATTGCAAACCAACCTTTTTGAAATTCGCTCTATTGTCTGTTATTATTTGGATAACATACTGTGGTCTAATCTCCTCTACTATAGTGTCCATCAAGCTCTCATTTTAGTTTGCACCTTGGATCTTTTCAGAAGCATTAACAGACTTATGAAACACCACTCTTCTGTTGCAATAAACAAGAAAGTTGATTGTACTCATTTTTGTTGGTCCTATCTAACTATCACACATCAGTGTCACCCCATATTCGTCCCATTGCCTCTTGAAGGATTTGATCCAATCCTTTAGTTCTATCACCTCCTCATCTAAGTATACGTCGTAAATCTCCTTTGGTGTTGGAGGTTGGATCCCCGTGCCAGACTTTTAAATAAAAGAGACCATGCTCTAATAATATGGACCTTGGGTTGTGTTGGCTGGAATCCTGTGGAAGTTGAACCATTTTGAGATTGCCTTCCCAATATCCCCTTTTTTCTCTTTTGTGTATGCATCGTCAATCCGTGTCTGTTTCGCTGTCTGTGGGGGAGACTTGCGAATCAATATCAACAATATCTGATGCGGACCTCCTGCCAAGACCTCTCATAAAACCACGGAGTCCACCATACCTCATGCTACTAGTTCGGCCTAACTAAGAAGGAGCAATTGGTTGTCTCATGCTGGTCGATCTCTGGATTCCACTACCATTGCCGTGCTCCAATAGTGAGTCAGGTCGTCGATGCCTCATTGCTTTATCGACCGTATATTGATTCTCCAATGATGCACGAATCCCAGTTGTGAGATCCGGGTCGACTTGATCGCCGCAACCCTCATACCGATCATAAACTGGTTCCTGTGTAGCCCTATAATATTCTTCATCAACTCTTGCTTTTTTTTTTTAATGTATTTTCCTTTGCTTGTTGCAGCTTGCTTTAAAATAATTTACGGATCTTCGTCGGAACCTTCTTGCGTTTTGCAACATCAGGATACTTGCCAGCCAAATGCATTTTCACCCAAGTTATTCCTCCACCCTTTTCGATGTAGTCAAAATAAATACATTGCCAATGATGACGATTATCATCTATCTTTCGGGCATGAACCCATGCATCATCATGTGGTTGTACCTTTGGTGTCATGATCCTACCAAATTTAAATCAAATAAACTATAAAGTATAAACATATTAAATTGACCAAATATCGATAAAAAATCACTAATCGCAGCATTAAATAATTTTATTATAACATAACTAATCATATTTTATCATCATAAATATGTTACATACATAAAAGAAGCATTAAATATATAATTTTGATCCAATATGGTTCAAATTATGATAAAATCATCATTAGATATACTAATCACCCGATTAACATAGTTAATTTCCTATTAATTACTTCTTATTCAACATTATAAAATGGTAAACACCCTAATAGGTATTAAACACATTGAATTGATATAAAATTAAACAAATTTCGATTAAATCATCATTAAAATGACTAATCACAGCATTAAATAACTTTAATAAAACCTAATTAAACTTATTTTACCATCATATATATGTCAAACACATAAAAGAAACATTGAATATATAATTTTGATCAAATATGATTCAAATTATGATAAAACCATCATTAGATACACTACTTACATGATTAACATAGTTAATTTTTCACTAATTACTTCTTTTTCAATACTATAAACATGGCAAACACCCTAATACGTATTAAACATATTGAATTGACATAAAATCGAACAAATTTTGATTAAATCATCATTAAAATAATTAATCGCAGCATTAAATAACTTTAATAAAACCTAATTAAACCTATTTTACCATCATATATATGTCAAACATATAAAGGAAATATTAAATATATAATTTTGATCCAATATGATTCAAATTATGATAAAATCATCATTAGATACACTAATTATATGATTAACATAGTTAATTTTTCACTAATTACTTCTCTTACAACACTATAAACATGACAAACACCCTAATAGGTATTAAACATATTGAATTGACATAAAATCGAACAAATTTCAATTAAATCATCATTAAAATGACTAATCGCAGCATTAAATAATTTTAATAAAACCTAATTAAACTTATTTTACTATCATAAATATTTTTTAATATTTAATATGCATGAAACACACTAATCATAATATTAAAGATCTTAATTACTCTCTAATTAAAAAAAGAGAATACATACCTCTTGATTAGAATGTTCTTCCTCTTAATCTTCCCAAATTAACCTCGATTGAATTTACAAATCCTTGTTTTGTAGAGTTTAGGAGAGAAAAAAGAGTTTGAGATAGTTTAAGAGAGTATGAGAATCTATTGGAGTGAAATAGGGGAGAAGAAGGGTTTAAATATTATAAGAAAGTGCTCCAACGGTTAATTTGATCGTTGGAGCATTGTAGCACTGTTACAGTGCGGTAACGGTCAAAATCGACTGTTACCGAGTTGTGCCAGGTGGTAACAGTCGAATTTCGACCGTTACCACTCGATATTACCTTGTATCGTCTGATATGCGGTGCTTTTAAACGTTTCACCCGGTTGCGGGCGGTCCGCGTACCGATATACCGTCGGACCGGTATGTACCGCTCGGTATTCGATCGTTACCGCTCGATATTACCCCGTATCGTTTGATACGCGACGCTTTTAAACGTTTCGCCCAGTTGCGGGCGGTCTGCATACTGGTATACCGTCGGACCGGTACGTACCGCCCGTATCGGCCAGTATCATTCGAAATTGCTTACCTTGGTATACAGTTTCGAATAATATCGCCTCTACCGGGTGGTACGTATCGGTC